TACAAGCACACGCTGCTTGGAGTGAGGGGGAGCTTTGCAAGGTAGCAAATACTCCAGATCTCTGGACGCAGTCCCATTTATTTGCAGGTCACAGGTGGATTTAAGTAAAATATTTCCTTGAGATGGCATTACTGCAGACATACACCCTAGCTTTGTCTCTTGCTTTTTATGGGAAGAGACCTTGAAGCCAAAAGATAACAAACCTATTCACATACAAACGAAGCACCCAATACACATAAGTGGGCCAGGTTTCCCCCTGGGCTAGGATTCCGAGAATGCATTAACACAAAATTGGGAGTGCTTAACACAAGGTTAAAAAACATGCATCTTCCAACCCCCTAACCCCACATGTAGGTTTTTTGTTATTGTTTTTTATAGTCTTTATCAAGCTGAGAAAGTTTTCTTCTATTCCTAGTTTATGGAGAGTCTTTGTCATGAATAAATGTTAGATTTGGTCAAATTCTTATATTGATATGACCATGTGATTTTTCTTTTTTAACCTGTTGATATAATGGATACCATTAATTGATTTACAAATGTTGAACCAGCCTTGCAGACCTAAAATAAATCCCAATTTTTCATGGTGTTTAATTTTTTTTATACATTGTTGGATTTTATTTGCTAATCTTTTGTTGAGAATGTTTGCATCTATGTTCATGAGAAATATTGCTCTGTAATTCTCTTTTTTAATGTCTTTGGTTTGATATTAGGATAATGCTGGTCTCAGAATAAATTAGAAAGTACTCCCTCTGCTTCTATTCTCCAAAAATGAATGTAGAGAATTGGTATAATTTCTTCCTTAAATGTTTGACAGAATTCACCAGTGCACCCATCTGAGTTCAGTGCTTTCTGTTTTGGGACATTACAGATTATTGATTCAATTTATTTCATACAGGGTGTCCCAAAAATGTATACACACTTTGAAAAATTATAAATTCCAATGAGTTAAATCTGAAAAAAAGAAACATCAATTAAGCTATTGGCTAAGTATGTATACATTTTTGGGGGGATAACTTATAGATATAGCTCCATTCAGATTGTTTCTTCTTGTGTGAGTTTTGAAATATTATACCTTTCAAGGAATTGGTCCATTTCATCTAGAATATCAAATTTGTGGGCATTGAATTATTCATAGAATACTTTTATTACTTTTTCAATTTCCATGTGATCTGTAGTAATGTCCTCTCTTTCATTTCTGATATTACCAGTTTGTGTCCTCTGTCTTTCTTTCTTATTAGCCTGAATAGGCTTATTGATTTTATTGTTCTTTGCAAAGAATGAGCTTTTGATTTTGTTGATTTTCTCTATTCATTTTCTGTTTTCAATTTCATTAATTTTTGCTTGAATTCTTACTATTTGTTTTTTTCTTTTATTTTGGATTTAATTTTGTCATCTTTTACTAGTTTCCTAAGGTGGAAACTTAGATTGCTAATTTTTTACTTTTCTTCTTTTCTAGTTATGCATTCAGTCATTCAGTGTTATATATTTCCCTCTAAGAAGTAATTATTCTGTGTTTTTATTTTTATTTAGCTCAAAAAAACTGAATTTCTCTGGAGATTTCTTCTTTGATCCAAATATTATTTAAGCGTGTTATTTTATCTCCACATATTTTGGAATTTTTTAGTTATCTTTCTGTTATTTTTTTTTTCTAGCTTACTTCTGTTGTTATCCAACAGCATACAGCATATTATTTCTTTTAAATTTGCTAAGGTGTGTTACATAATAACTATTAATTTTAATAAATTTTCATTTTTATTTGAATATTTATGTCAGCATTTAGATTACCTGTAAATAATAATATTTTATTTATTTTTTGAAATTCTTATACCATATATATGTATTTATGTATATATATATTGTTCCTCACCTGAGGATATTTTCCATTTTATCATCAGATAGAGTGGGAAGGAGGGAGAGAGAGAGAGAGAGAGACAGAGAGAAACATTGATGTGATAGAACCACATTGACTGGTTGCCTACCTCTTGGCCCTGATTGGGTTGGGGACAAACTGCAACTAAGGTACATGCCCTTGACCGGAATCAAACCCGTGACTCATTGGTGCATGAACTGATGCTCTAACTACTGAACCAAAGTAGCCAGGGCATCCATTTTATATATTTTTATTCCCTTATTCACTGGCTACAATTTCTAGTACAAGTTTGAAAAGAATGTTTTTCATATTTCTCAATTAAGAATGGTTATTTGTGAATATTCTTAATCAAATTAAGGGAGATCTCTTTAATTTCTAGATGGCTTAAAAGTGTCACTTTGAAAGAGTATGGAATGCTAGCATGAACAGTGGACATGGACAACAATCTGGGGAAGGGGCAGGGAGGGAAGGGGGAGGGGGAATTAGTGGGGGAAAAAAGGAGAATCATCTGTAACAAAAATTAATCAATAAAAAAAAAGAAAAAAAATGAGAAACATCTGTAATAAAAACAAATTAATAAATAAATTTTTTTAATGCTATTGAAATACTCAATTTTTTTTTCTGTTAATATGTTAAATTACACAGATTTAAAAAAATTTTAACTAAACTTTCAAGTCTGACATAAACTCAATTTTATTATAAAGTAATATTTTAACACTCTTGAATTAAACTGGTTATTATTTTAAGATACACGTACATTTGTTTTTATTATTTTATTTTATTTTTGTTGTTGAAAATATTACAGATGCCCCCCCCTCCCCCATTGACCCCTTCCCACTCCCACTCTTGTCCTGCTTTCCCCAAACTATTGTCTGTGTTCATTGGTTATGCATATAAGTTCTTTGGTTTATCTCTTCCCAACCTCTCCTCTCCCCTTCCCCCTGAGGTTTGTCAGTCTGTTCTCTACTTCCATGTCTCTGGACCTATTTTGACAAATTTGGCACATTTGTTTTCAAAAGACTGAACTAGAATTCCCCTTTCTCATAACACTATTGTTAAGTATTGATACCAATATTACTTTGGCCTCAAAATTTGAGTTGGAAAGTATTTCTTCCTATTCTATTTTCTGAAAGAGGCTGTACAATATTGATGTTATGTCTTTCTTAAACAATTAGAAGCATTTACAACTAAAACCATCTGGCCTGGGAGGTTTCTTTGGTGGACTTTTTAAATTAAATATTTAATTTCTTCACTAAAAATAGTATTATTCACATTTACTATTTTTCTTTTTCAGTGTGATAAGCTATGTTTTTCAAAAACATCTCTCCTTTTTTTCATTCTTGGTATTGCTAATCCTTCTTTTAAATTTAAACTTAAAATCTGTTTTTCTACTGTTCTATACAATTTTAGGTTATTGAAAAAGCCAAGTTATGAGTTTCTTGACTTTTTATACCTTCTGTTAATTTTTTAGTCAACTGATTTCTGGTCTTAACTTTTTAAATTAATTTTTTAAATTTTCTTTCCTCTGAGATAGATAATTATCTCTCTTAAAAGCCTTCTTTCTTTGTTAAAACAGAAATTTAAACCAATAAATTTTCTCTAACCTTTAAGAGAATGTTCTATGTTCTACAAGTTAGTTATATCTCATAAGTTTTGATATAATATATATACATCACATACACCAAAATATATGTAACTTTCTTTTACTTCAAAATAGTTTCTACTTCCCATGTTTCTACTTTGATTCATGAGCTATTCAGCCTTGCATTACTTAATTTACAAACTTTGGTGATTTTTTACTTTTTATTTTTTTATTGATATATGACTCAATTTTACTGCAGTCAGGTGGCATACTTTAAAAGACTTCAATTTTTTAAAAAATTGTCTTTACCACTTCATTGTCCTGCATTTTGGTAAATATTTCATGTGCACTTTAAATAATGTTTCATGTGTACTTTAAAGAATGTGCATTATGTAATTGTTGCATGTAGCGTTCTATGCATGTCAACTGGCTTAGTTTTATTAATCATGGTGTTCAGACGTCATTATCCTTGTACTTTCAGCTCGTTGTTATATCAGTGGTTAAGAGAAGGGTGTTATAGGTACTTGACATCAAGTGAATGTAGATGATAATTCAACCAATTGTTTTATATCTGTGCACCCTTAATCGCCAGCATCCCATTTACAACTGGTGATTAGATTAATGCCTTTAAGACAATTGGCATTAAAAAAACCAATATAGTGATATCTCATCCTTAAGGTTCTATTTCTTTAGAACCATTTTTAGTACCAAAATTGAGTCGATTGTTTTTGTTCAGAAAAGCAAACACTACAAATATTTCAAGACCAGAACTTTAACATAGGAATTATGAATAATATCATTGTGAGAGTAGCTGGGGAATTATGGTCTGGAAGGCTGTATCGCTGGAGGAAAAATAGTCACTAATAATTTTCACTTAAAGCACTCATGTGTTTGGAGAACACAGAGATTAAAGGAATGTCTAAGAAGTTAAAATATCTACCTGCGAAGACTACAAAAAGGAAACTTGTAAAAACGTCTGTGAACTTCTGATGCTCAAGATCTCTAAGAATACTAGCTTCTGCTTTACTCTTACCTTTCAAATCTCATGTGGGTTATTTTCATTGGTTAACCCTGAGCCGTGCAGTGATGGTGGTACCTACTTGAAACAGACCATAAAACACATACCTTATTAGTTCTGTGTTCTGTTTTATTTTTTTCATTACTCCCTTAGAGTTTAACACATTTCATAGATTTTTACAGTCTAGTATAAATTAGGTTTTTTTTTACTTGCAGACAATGCTAGGATTTTATTGCATTTCATTTACCTAAACATGGCAAAGATCACTTTACACAAGTGAAAAACACAAGTAACAATGGTTACTCCAGAATGCCTAAGTATCACTGAGGATAGAGTTAAAAGGAATATAAGTGTCCTGTCAAATCCTGAGCATAACATGTATTTTTTTAAAACTTGTTGTGTGATAGATATGCATTTCTAATCATGATCATAATCTTTTACATCACAATCTTGTCTTTTCCTAATAATCTCAAATACAGAGGCATATTATTTCATCTGGTTCTTAAAATATGTATTTGTCTCATTCCCAGTTACACAACGTCCATCTACTTGGTATTTTTGCCCAGATGGTTGGATTGGTTTGAAAAATAATTGCTATTATTTTTCCAAAAAAGAAATCGATTGGAATTCAAGTAGAAACAACTGTTTAACTCGACAAGCTGACCTAACTGTGATTGACACTACTGAAGAAATGGTAAGTAATCTAATACATATTCCAAATGATTTTTTTGCATAAGGACATTGGAAATATTCAGATTACATTATGATTTTCTAAACATCTTCCACATGCCTGTGTATATATACAGGATATTGAAGATGATTGTAACAGGCCATGAAATATACGCACTACATTAAGTAATAGATCTGATAATTACATTATTTTTATATTTTAAGGAGTATAAATAGAAGAATTTGATAATATTTGGAAACTTTTTAAAAACCAATAGTCCACAAAGAGAGAATTGTTTCAGAAAGGATGGAACTCATCATTCCACCTTCCTCCAGCTTCTCAATCTTGCTTTGTTGTCTGCCTCTGAGCTCCCATGGCAGCCTCCATACAGCATTCACTACTAGTAATGCAATGGGTGTACAATTGAAAGTTTCCCCCTATGAGCTTCCAGTGAGCAGATACTATGCCTTATTTGAAATTGTATCTTTTGCTATAGCATAAAGGCAGACACAAATAAAAGCTTAATGAATCTCTGTTGAATAAATATTATTTTAAAAGACAAAACATTTTTGAGGAAAGAGACTCTCCAAGAACTTTAATAAGTGATTATGAAACTCTGTAGCTCTGTACTTGAGAAATCTGTTATTTTCCCAAGTCATTTCTGTGGTAAGTATACCATTTTGCTTTTGTGTAATCTCTTTGAAAGGGTCATTATAAGAGATAATGACACTTGATTTTAATATTTTTGTGAATAATGTATAATTAAGAAATGTTTAAAATGTGAACAGTACAGCACAGTAGCCAACATTGATAGAATTATGTGTTATTTTGGTGGTGAACAAAGTATATTTATGTAATCTGCCTGATGATTGGTTCAAATTTAAATGACTATGAACCAGACTGGGACAATGTATAGATCAGTACAAGGAAACTAAACTATTTTGAAAGCAAGAAAAGGTATGGAAATCTGAATAAAATGTGAAAAACTAGATATATTAAGAGCAGACACTGAAAATAAAAAATGAAGGCTCATTTAAATGGGAAGAGCTGCTGTAGTCAATAGTCTCACTCCTGAATTTTGCAGGACTTTTACAATGAACATTCTGCAAATTCTTTGTGTGTGTTTGTGTGTGTGTTAACCCTCACTCAAGGATATTTTTCCATTGATTTTCAGATAGAGTGGAAGGGAGGGAGGGAGAGAAAGAGAGAAACATTGAAGTGAGAGAGACACATCGATAGGTTGCCTCCCGCATGATCCTGACCCAGGCTGGGGATCAAACCTACAACCCAGGTACATGCCCTTGACTGGGAATCAAATCTGTGACACTTTAGTCCTCGTGCCGATGCTCTAACTGCTGAGCCAAACTTGCCAGGGCCTGAGAATTCTTTATACTTCCTTTTTACAATTCTTCTTGGGCAAAAGAAGCTAAATTACCAGCAAGATGGAAAAATGAGTCTTAATAAAAATTTTTGAGAGATGAAAAATAACAAGGCATACTGTTTTTAAACTCTTCACTTACAAGAATTGTGTTGGCAAACACTGAAATAGTAGTGAATATTATGGTACACAAAGAATAGAAGTACACAAAAATAATTAGTTTTGAGCTTAAGGGAAATCATTAAACATATCAGATAAGAATGATTGTATTGTTTGGATAAAAAAAGACTGATCATACAATATCCTGAAGTATTTTGAAGATTGTAGATGCCTATTTGGTACTACATAACCTGGGCAAAATTTAAGTGACCAACAGAATAAGGTAAACCTGTCTGTGAAGGAGTCATAAAAGTAATGTATACAAGAATTTTAATTTTTTTAAAAATTGATTTTAGAGAGAGAGGGAGAGAGAGAGAAACATTGGTGAGAAAGAGAAACATCACATCAATTTGCTGCCTCCTGCACCCCCCTACTGGGTATGGAGCCTACAACCCACGCATGTGCCTGAACTAGGAATGGAACTGGAGACCTTCGACCTTCGGTGAATGGGACGACACTCAACCAACTGAGCCACACTGGCCAAGGCAATGTATACACACATTTTAAAAGATTGTTTATTTAAAATAGTTTAAAATAGTATATATTTATTTATTTTTTTAACTTATCTTTATTCTTGAATACAGTACAGATATTTCTCCTTTTTTCCTTATTGACCCCCTCCTCCTCACTCCTGCCCCCCTTCTGCCTTTCCCCACACTGTTGTCTGTGTCCATTGGTTATGCATATATGTATATAAATTCTTTGGTTTATATCTTCCCACCTTCCCAACCCTCTTCCCTTTGAGGTTTGTCTGTCTAACAACCAATTTGTACTTCTTAATCCCTTCACCTTTTTCACCCATTCCCCCAACCCCTCTCCCATCTGGCAACCAACAAAATGTTCTCTGTGTCTATGAAAATGTTTCTGTTCTGCTTGTTCATTTTGTTTATAGATTCGATTGTCGATAGATATGTATTTATTGCCATTTTGTTTGTTCATATTTTTTATCTTTTTTTTCTTCAAGAAGACCTTTCATATAATAATGGTTTGGTGGTGATGAACTCCTTTAACTTTTTCTTGTCTGGGAAACTCTTCATATGGCCATCGATTCTAAATGATAGTTTTTCAAGAGAGAGTAAAATTGGTTGTAGGTTCTTGCTTTTCATCACCTTGACTGTCTCTTGCACTTCTTTCTGGACTGCAAAGTTTTGAGAAATCAGCTGACAGTCTTATGGGAACTCCCTTGTAGGTAACTAACTGCTTTTCTCTTGCTGCTTTTAAGATTCTCTCTTTGTCTTGAACCTTTTGCATTTTGATTATGATGTGTCTTGGGGTGGGCCTCTTGGGTTTCATCTTGTTTGGGACTCTCTGTGCTTCCTGGATTTGTATGTCTGTTTTCTTCACCAAGTTAGGGAAGTTTTCTGTCATTATTATTTCAAATAGGTTTTCAATTTCTTGTTTTCTCTCTTCTTCTTCTGGCATCCCCAAGATGTGAATGTTGGTACGCTTGAAGTTGTCCCAGAGGCTCCTTATACTATCCTCATTTTTTTTTTAATTATTTTTTTCTTTTTGGTGTTCTGATTGGGTGTTTTTTGCTTTCTTATATTCCAAATCAATGGTTTGATTCTTAGCTTTACCTACTCTACTATAAAAGTTCTGTACATTATTCTTTATTTCAGTTAGTGCCTCCTTCATTTCTGACTGGTCCTTTTTCATGCTCTTGAGGCCCTCAGTAAGTTCACTGAAGTTCTCACTAAGTTCATTGAGCATCCTTATAAGCAGTGTTTTGAACTGTGTTCTGTTAGGTTGCTTATCTTCCTGGAGTTTTGTTATGTTCTTTTATTTGGGACGTTTCTTTGTCTCCTCATTATGGCTGCCTCCCTATGTTGGTTTCTATGTATTAGGTAGAGTTGTCTCCTGGGCTTCCAAGGGTGGCCTATTGTAGTAGGTGTCCTGTAGGTCCAGTGGCACAGCCTCCCTGATCTCCCAGCTGGGCCCTCGAGGTGCACCCCTTGTGTGGACTTTACACCCTTCTGTTGTAATTGAGTCTTGATTGCTGTTGGCACATCAATGAGAGGGTTTTACTCAGGCTGATCAGCTGCCAGGACTGGCTGTGCCCACTATCCACTGACCTCTGACTATCTTAAATGATCAACTGTGCAAGGTCCCATCACACAGAGCAAGACTTACTTCAGCAGGACTCTAGTACCCACTGAGTCCATTCCTTGAGTGTGTCACTTGTGGAGGTGGTTGGGTGGTGGTGCTTCACAGTGTTCTGAAGCTGTCCACTGGATGTACTGGCTCTGGGACCAGGTCAGCCACTGCCTAGTGTTCTACCTGGGGTCACCAGGCATAAGCTATAAAGCAGTCTGCAAATGGCTGCTTCTTGTGCCAGGCTTGGAGGTGCCCAGGAAAAGCCAAGTTGCGAACCAAGGCTGGCTGCTCTAATGCCAGGCCTGGGGCCACTTAATGAGAGGTATGTGGTTTGCTGAGACCAGATGCTGCTTGTTTGAGAGAATTTAGGAAAATCTAAAGCAGGATCCAAGATAGGCCAATCCTTTGGTAAAGCAACTGGCAACAGTTTGGGTGTGGCTGAAAGCTGGCAGGGTAAATAGTGTAAGCCAGGTTGCTGAAATGCCAGATATGGCGGCTATCTGCCTGCCCTGTGGGGGAAGGGCTTACCAAAGGAACAAAGGCCTCTGATAGCATGTCTGTCCAGGAGTAAGTCGCCTCTCCAGCCCTTGCCCCAATGCCAAACAACTCAGTTCTTCCTCATATGTCTCTGGTACCTTTTGAGCTGCCTCCCCCATCCTGGAGCCAGGAGGGTGCGAGTCCGAGCAAGTCCATGTGCAGGCCCTTTAAGAGGAGCTGCCAGGGGCTCTAGCAGCCGCACCCTCCCTCAGCCTCAGTTCCTGCTGGTTTTTCCAGCCAGAAGTTATGGGGACTTCTCTTCCTGGCACTGGAACCCTGAGCTGGCAGCCTGGTGTGGGAGGGGGACCCCTCAGTCCTCAGGGAGGACCTTCCCAGCCGAGGTATCCTCCTGATTTTTATCTGCCACATGTGGGCGTCGGCCCAACCAATGTACGCCTTTGCCCCTCCTACCAGTCTCAATGTAGCTGCTTCTTTAATTCCGTAGTTGTAGGACTTCCATTCAGCTCGATTTCAGGCAGTTTTGAATAATGGTTGTTCTGTAGTTTAGTTGTAACTTTGATGTGGTTGTGGGAGGATGCGATACTGCGTTTACCTACTCCGCCATCTTGACCGGAAGTCAAAATATTATATATATTTAAATTATAAAATGTTTCCTTAGTTAAAATCATATAAAACTTGTTTCATGAAATATTATTTTTGTATTTATTTCCACCTACTTAAAATTATCTTGCATTTTTAACAAGGGGTTGTATGGGCACCCTTTTGTTGAACAAATAATGATTAATAATTTTCATAGGATAGGCTCTAGAAAATACACTTCCCAGTTGCCTGTCACCTACACCATAGCTATTGAACATCATCAAATTTTCCTATTATATATATATTTCATATATATGTGTGTGTGTGTGTGCGTGTGTGTGTGTGTGTGTGTGTACACTCTGCAAGTTTTCAATACATTTATCCTTTCTTCTATATTTTCTTCTGCCTTGAAACAAACTCTTTGCTAAGTCTAGACTATGAATGTCCCTTCCTCCCTTGCCTTCTATATTGTGGAATTTTCTCATCCAGATCTACCTCTTAGAGAACATCTTATGTGAAAGTCTCCCATAAAGACCAGACACTTCTTGTAAACTCAAATGTCAGTTTGTATTTATTATACTCATTATCTTCTCCTTAACTAGTAGGATATTTTCTAATTCTATGTTTATATAATTTTTCTCACTAAATAAAACTCTTGAAACCTAGGGAGAATATTTTATTAATCTGTTTCTTTGTAATCCCAAAGTTTAGCTTAATGAATTGAACTTTTTAAAAATAAAGTCATGGCCTGGCCACTGTGGCTCAGTGATTGAGCATTAACCTGTGCACCAAGAGGTCATTGGTTTGGTTCCTGGTCAGGGCAGATGCCCAGGTGTGGGCCAAATCTCCACTGGGGGGGCATGTAGGAGGAGGCCAATCAATGTTCTTGCTCATTGATGTTTCTGTCTCTCTCTCCTTCTCCCTTCCTCTTTCTCTAAAAATCAATAAAGGAAAATAAAATAAAATAAATTTCATGGCTTTGGCTTGTTAGTTTCAGTGGTTAGAATGTCGACCCATGGACCAAAGGGCCGCAGGTTTGATTCTAGTCAAGGGCACATACTTGGGTTGCATGTTAGATCCCCTGGCCCTGGTCAGGGTCACATGGGAGGCAACCAATCGATGTGTCTCTCTCACATTGATGTTTCTCTCTCTCCGTCTTCCTCTCTTCCACCTTCCCTTCTGTCTAAAATTCAATGAAAAAATATCCTTGAGTGAGGATTTTAAAAAATAAATAAATAATTAAAAAATAAATTCATCAAATACTGTAAAAAATGGTATATTAAAATGACAGCAGTTACTAGTGTCACTGTTATTAGATAGAAATGGACCATGAGTGTTGTCATCTGTCAGGATTCCCTTATATTTAGCATGAAATTGAAACATGGAGTAATATAATGTAAAGCTATGTCTTCCCAGGTATTTAGTAGCAGAAGAGACTCAATGACTTTCTAAACATAATATAATTCTATGGTAAAAATGAGCTCAATTTCAACATTGAATGACTACGAAAAAAAAAAAAAATCAGGAAAAATTATAATTTCCCTGAATGATGCCTTTAAAAATTAAAATATTTGCAAAAATGAGATTAGATAACTAGATTCTAAAAGAACTAGTTATATGAAGTATATGTATGTGTGTGCCTGTGAGCATGTGTGTGTATGTGTGTACATATGTGATCATTTTGGGAGAGAAGTAAAATACAACTTTGAACTTACTGTACTAGTAATTACTAGGAATAGGAAACCCATTACAGTAACTATGTGATGATTAAAAAGAGCTTCCTGGCACACTCTGGCTTTTCATAAGTTTTTGTTGTTGTTGTTTAAAAATCCTGGAGGAATAGATTTTCATATTGAATATTTATCTATTTGTAATCAGAAAGTATCTTAAAGAATATTTATCTCACATCTTTGTTTCACAGATAAGAAAACTGAGGGTCAGAAAGTAAAAGAGCTTTTCAAAATGCCATGGCTATTTTCTGATGTAGCGGGAAGCTGCACATTTGTTACCTTGCTCCTCACAATAGGTTGTAGTAAAAACTGAGGTGTAAAGTTATGAAATTTATTTTGTCTCTAAAGGAGTTTCTAAGACAACACAAATGCACTTCTGATCTCTGGATTGGGTTGGAGATGACAGAAAATCAAAAAGGCAAATGGGTAAACGGAAACGTATTTAACAACTCGTGAGTTTCTTTCTTTCTGGGGTTATAATTTGAATTTAGATAGTGCAACCAAAAGAAGCCATGCATTAGCTACATTTCTCTAGAGCCCAAGTTTTGAGCACATGTTGAAAAGATGGAATGGGGAAGATTGTATCATGTATGGAGATTGGTTCCAAAAGTCATCCAGAGGGGCTGGGAATCAACATATAAGGGGAAGAGCTCCTCACTGGTTATTTTGAAAATAAAGATACAAAATCCATAAACACAGTCCAAAAAGAAGTTACACTTTTCCTTTATTCTAATTTATCTTCTCCAATTCTATATCTATTTTTTTCAAGATTTATGCTACCTGTTTCCTTGACACCGTTTATAGTTCATAATAAATTTACTGTTTTCATCTGATTTTATTTGCATTGATAACACAGTTTATCCTGGGCTTTGCATCTTTCATTTCTCAATAAGAAAAATTGAATCTAAAGACCTGAGTTCACTTCACACATGATCTCAGTGTAACCACCCCAAATGATGACTGCCAGCCACTTTACCACTTAGTTTGTATTCGAATTTCTCAATAGCAACACAATTCACACATTGGACTGAATAATTCTTTGTTGTGGTGAAGGGGCACATTCTTGTGCATATTAAGATGTGAGCAGCATCTCTGTCTTCTACCCACTCTACTTGTGGCAACCAGAATTGTCTCCAGTTATTCCCAAGTGTCCCTGGTGGGGGGTGGGGGGGAGGTAAAATTGCCCCTGGTTTAGAACCATTGATTTATATGAACTGGTAGTCTCCACTAGGGGACGTGCAGGAGGCAGCCCATTGATGTTTCTATCTCTCTCTCTAAAAAAAAAAAAAAAATCAATATATGAACTGGTAGTTAGCTCCACTGATTACAAATAATTCAATGTCATTTAACATATATACATTCTTGGACTCGCATGGCTTAGTTAGGTACCGATGTCTTAACACTAGCAAGAGAATGCTATGTCACAGCACATTTTTAAAAAGAACTCTGGATGAATGTTTTTAAAATGGTGTTATTGGGCAAGGGACAATTTACAGGAATCCCTAATATGTAGTGTTTAAACTACTCTCTCTAACGTAGGTTTGATGTGAGAGGAAATGAAAAATGTGCTTACCTCAGTGATGATGGTGTAGCAACAGCTAGATGCTACACAGAAAGAAAATGGGTTTGTAGGAGTAAAAAAAACACTAGGTAAATATTTCTGATGATGGCTTATAACCATGGTAATAATGTTTTAATATCTGTACCTTTTTCTTTCCCTCTGTATAACTTCATTTTTGTTAAAGTAAATTTCTTCAGCTTATATTTTTATTTTTCAAATGGCCTGAATTTTTGCTTTTCTATATGTTTTAGAAGAATCTTGTAATTTCATAGAATCAATAGGTCAGTGTTAGGATTGTTCTATTTATAAAAGTATTTTTTATTAATTTGTAATATCTATCTTGTATTGATTTTTATCTTCTTATAGAACTTACAATTTTTGTAAAGTTACCAAAAATTATTTACTATTTTCATCCCTATTACATGTATATAATTTCTTTGCTATTAAAATTATGTAATTTTATTATTTTTTAAAATAGTTGTTTTTATATAGAAATGTAACTACTTTTGGTTATTCTTCTGTTCAATATCCATACTGAAAGCTCTTATAATTTCTAGTAATCAGTAGAATATTTTAAATGCTGTAAAATACAGCATCTAATAATAAGTTCTATTTTGTCCTGTCTTATAAATATTATTTCTTAGCTAATTAAAAAGGGTAAGACTGCCAGGAAAATATTTCTGTTGACTATTATAGACTTGTTTCACATTTTAAGAAAAATGTTTCTAACATTTCAACATTAGTTTTTAAAATATAAATTTTAAGTTAAATTGGTTCTTTTCTATTTCTATTTGTTATTTTTTATTTCCTTTTTTGTTAGCTGGAAGAAGTGAGAAAGGATTGTCCTCTAGAGCTGCCTGAATGAACCTGACTCAGCAGACAACTTGATCCTGGACTTCCAACTTTTAGAAATGTGAACAATAAATTTCTATTTTAAACCACCTGATTTGTGATACTTTGTTATAGCATTGCTAGCACACTATAACTATCAAGATCTGCTTATTTGCATTTCTGTGTTCCATTTTTCTCAGATACAAGTGTGAGCTAGAATGTCCCTTCCTTGTTTCAAGGTTCTTCATTAAATTAAAAATATATATATCCCCCAGGAATCTCAGTGTAGTGCAATCTGGTTTTATCTTTCATGCCACAGGAGTGCACAAAAGCATTGCTCACCAAGCCACCCCCAACTGGTACTGCTCTGTCCAGACGATTGCTTCATTTAATATCTCTCATGTCTTCTCAAACAGGATTTAATATTTATCTTCTATTTCTTTCTTCTTAAATATTGTCTTGCTTCTTCTTGAATTTTTTGGAATAGTTTGAAGAGAATGGATGTTAGTTCTTCTTTGAATGTTCAATAAAAGACCTCTGTGAAGCCATCCGGACCCGGGCTTTTTTTTTTTTGCTGGGAGTTTATTGATTACTGCTTCAATTTCCTTACTTATTGGTCTGTTCAAGTTTTCTGTCTCTTCATGGTTCAGTTTTGGGAGACTGTGTGATTCTAGAACTTAGTTCATTTCGCCTAGGTTGTCCAATGTGTTGGTGTATAATTGTTCAGAGAATTTTTTTTTTATCCTCACCAAGGATATGTTTCAATTGATTTTCAGATAGAGTGGGAGGGAGGGAGAGAAAGAAACATCAATGAGAGAGAGAAACATCAATTGGTTGCCTCCTACATGACCCAGACCAGGGCTGGGGCCTAAACCACAACCAAAGTACTAGAATCAAACCCGCAATTCTTTGGTCCAAGGGCTGATGCTCTAATCACTGAGCCAAACTGGCCACGGCTTTTCATAATATTTTTAAATAATCCTTTGTATTTCTGTGATGTCAGTTGCTACTTCTTCTTTTTTGTTTCTGATTTTGTTTATGTAGGTCCTCTCTCTTTGTTTCTTGGTGACTCTAGCTAAAGGTTCATCAATCTTGTTTACCTTTTCCAGGAGCCAACTCTTTGTTTCATTGATCTTTTGAATTGTTTTTTTAGTCTCTATGTCATTTATTTCCACTCTGACCTTTACTATTTCTTTCCTTCTACTTGCTTTTAATTTTAACCAAGGAGGTAAAAGACCTGTTCTCAGATAACTACAGGACATTTAAAAAAGAAATAGAAGAAGTTATTAAAAAGTAGAAACATATATCATGTTCATGGATTGAAAAAAATCAACGTTATTAAAATGTCCATACTACTCAAAGCAATCTACAGATTCAATGCAACCCCTATTAAAGTACCAATGGCATATTTCAAAGATCTAGAACAACAAATATTCCAAAAGTTTATATAAAACCATAAGAGATCCAGAATAGCACAACAATCTTGAAAAAAGAGAACAAAGTGGGAGGGATCACAATACCAGATATCAAGTTATACTACAAAACCATCATAATCAAAACAGCCTGATTCTGGCATAAGAACAGGCATATAGATTGGTGGAACAGAACCTAGATATCAACCTAAGACAGTATGCACAATTAATATTCAATAAAGGAGGCAAGAGCATACAATGGAGAAAATGGTGGTCTTCAATAAATAGTGTTGGGAATATTAAACAGATACATGCAAAAAAAGAAAGAAAAAGAAAAAGAAACAAGACCACCAACTCACACCATACACAAGAATAAACTCAAAATGAATAGAAGACTTAAATGTAACCTGTGAAACCATAAAAATCCCAGAAGAAAACAAAGGCAGAAAAATCTCAGACATTATATACAGCAGAATTTTTACCTAGGGCAAGAGAAACAACAACAACAAAGATTAATACATGGGACTACATCAAACTAAAAAGCTTCAGCATGGCAAGAGAAACCAACATCAAAATGAAAAGAAAGCCAATCTCTGGGAGAACATATTTGCCAATGATACATCAGATGAAGGGTTAATATCCAAAATATATAGATTACTCATACAACTCAACAAAAGGAAGACAAACAATCCAATTGAAAAATGGGCAGAGGGCCCTGGCCAGTTTGGTTCAACCATTAGAGCATTAGCCCTTGGCCCAAAGAGTTGTGGGTTTGATTCTGGTCAAGGGTGAATACCTTGGTTGTGATCCAATCCCCAGCCCTGGTCAGGGTTGTGAGGGAAGCTACCAGTCAATGTGTCTTTCTCACATTGATATTTCTCTCTCTCTCTCTCTTCCTCCCTCCCACTCTATCTGAAAATTAATGGAAAAATATCTCAGGTGAGGATTAAGAAAAAAAAATGGGCAAAGGACCTGAATAGACACTTCTCCAAACAGGACATACAAATGGCCAGGAGACATACTCAAAAATGCTCAACATCTTTAATCATCAGGGAGATTCAAATTAAAATGAGTATGAGATATCACCTCACAGCTGACAGAATGGCTGCCATCAACAAATCATCAAACAAGTGCTGACGAGGGTGTGGAGAAAAGGGGACTCTAGCACACTGCTGGTGGGATTGCAGACTGGTGCAGCCACTATAAAAAACAATATGGTGTTACCTAAAAAAAATTAAAAATGGCACTACCATTTGACCCAGTGATCCCATTTCTTGGACTATATCCTAAGAAGCCTGAAACAGCAATCAGGAAGGATATATGCACCCCTATGTTTATAAAAGCATTATTTGCAATGGCTAAGATCTGGAAACAGCCCAAGTGCCCACAGCAGATGAGTTGATTAAAAAAAACAAACAAACAAAAAAACTGTTTTGTGTAAAAACATTTACACAAAGGAATACTATGCAGCTGTAAGAAAGAAAGATCTCTTACCCCCTGAGATGACATGGAGAGACCTGGAGAATATTATTCTAAGTGAAATAACTAGTCAGAGAAAGACAAGTACTACATGGTCTCACTTATTTGTGAAACATAATGAACAAAATAAGCTGTCAACCAAGAGATCAAGAGTCATGGAAGTAGAGAACAGACTAACAAACCTCAGAGTGATTGGGGGAGGGGGTAGGAGAGATGGGAAAAGATAAACCAAAGAACTTGTATGCATATATGCACAACCAATGGAGACAGACATTAGGTTGGGGAAAGCAGGAAGGGGGTGGGAGCAAGAAGGAGGGGGTCAATGGGAAAAAGGGGGGACATCTATAATACTTTCAACAATAAAAAATAAAATAAAAATACACAAATTCACAAAATAAAATAAAAAGGGAAAGTGGACAAAATATTTTGGTGTTTAATTGCAGTTTTAAACCTTTACTCTTGAAGATTAATATTAGAACCTAATAGGCAAAAACTTTGATCATTGATTATTGCACTATCATTTTTTTATTCTAACATTGACAAATCCATCTGAAAACACTGCTGCAGGTTTCAGAGTAAATTTTGTTTCCCTTGATGGCAACACAGCTGTTGTCTGTAGCTGGTCCTTTTATGAAGAATCTGCAGTTAGAGAGCAAACGTACATTGTTAATCATTGTTGATGAAGAAATTCATTTGTATTTGCAGCTAATGCCCTCCCTTAATTAAAAGGTAATCAAAATGTCAAGGCGTTTTCAAATACGTTGACTACTAAACATCACAGTATCTCTGTTACTTAGTATTCTTGTCTGTGATTGGCAGAAAGTTCTGAGAATTTGTTGGCAAATGACAGAGTTAAGAATATGTGCCCACGTTTCCATTCTATTATTATTTCCATTATTCAATGTGATCCCTGAGATTGGAAGCAAAAAAAAAGATTAAGTCACATGGACAGCTCGCTTAACATTTCTTGACTTCTCATGTCAAATTGTAAAATGGTGTTAATCGTATTTGCCTCAAGATACTATTATGAGATTAAATGAACTGAGGTTTGCATAGAACTCTGTACACAAACTGACCCATGTAAGCTCTAAATAAATTGTCCATTTATTGTATTATTTATCTATAAAGAAGTATGATAAAATTATAAAGTTATCTATAAAATGCTTTAATGTTAGTGATTTATTCTGTCAGGAATTTATTTAAACTGAGGAAACAGTTTAAGAAAGAATCATGGACAAAGGAAAATGTACAGGGTCATCAAAACTTCCAAATTAATAAGAAGTAAATAAGGACTGGATTTTCATATTGGAAAATACACTGTGAACAAGTTTATGTTTGAATTTTGCATTGAACAAATTTTGAACAAAAATCCTCAGACATGGCCTAAAGTTAAAACTAAATCTTATAGGTAGTGTTGAGTGGATTTAGTATGGGAAAACACCTAGATTAGCACCTCCATAAGTGATCTATCAGGTAATGTTCAGTGATAAAACTCTACCCTCAGATGATTTTATTCTCCATTTCAATAATGTGTTCTGTTGACTTGCTTGGATTGATTCGTTTAGTGCAGTGAGGTAGAAAATAAGTAATATTTAATGGCAAAGTAAGGGTGAATGGAAAATAACAGTATCATTCATTAGTTAATTGGTTACATAGTTATTAGTTTTTTTATCACTGGTATAATGAATTACCACAAACTTAGTGGCTTAAAATAACACAAATCTTGCAGTTTTAGATAACAAAATTCTAAAGCTAGTTTGATGAGACTAAAAATCAAATGTCCACAGGGCTGCCTTCTGTAGGCACTAAGGGGACAATTTGTTCATTGCCTTTTGCAGCTTTTAGAGGTTGCATGCATTCCTTGGGCCATGACTATATCACTTGGACCATTGGGTTTATCTTGACATGCCCTTCTTTGACTCTACCCCTATCTGGATAATCCAGCATAATGATCCTATTTCAACAATATTAATTTAATCATGCCCTTGAAGTCTTTTTTGCCGTGCAAGGTAATACATTCATAGGATTTGGGGATTAGGATATGGACAACTTTGGGACCATTGTTCTGTCTACCAATATAGCGATAAGATGTGAATTTATTGGTTTTACTATTTGCAACTCTAATTAAATATTTTATTATAAAATTAATATAGGTACACAAAAATGTTGATAAAACTTTTATAATCCTCAATAATCTCATGCAGTTTCTGAGAAAATTTTGTATTATTTTGTTGTCTTATATTTCTCATTTATCTTTTAATATTATGATAATCAATAATATAATACAAAAATTATACAGTTTTATTTTTCACTTACTAAAGATGGCTGAAGTAAACATTCAGAAGTTTTAAAACATGAAAATACATTGGTTCAGTTAGACTTATCATATAAATTATGAGTAGTTTTTAAACAATAAATAGGCAACCATTACTGTTTTTGAGTCTTTTTGCTTTGTAAACCAAACCAAAATATTCACTATTACTCCAGTGAACATTAAATTATTTTTCATCCTTTCGAATTCTTTAGTACCAGTAATTACTTCAGAGTTGACTTTGGTGGATGTAGAGATGTTTTATAAAGATATGTTTTACAACAGACAATAAATCAGATTGCCTTTAGTAAAGACTCACATCTTTGAAACTAATGGAGAACCATCCACCCAGTTCCATGTCCTCTTCTGGGAGGTAAAGTTAAGTCCAATCCACACGTAGTTTGATTGTTTTAGGTTTTTCTGTATAAAAGCCTAAAAAGTGAGTAATGAGTAATTAAATGAATAGAATATTTTAATAATTCAGATATACTAAATAAGACTTTAGAATTTTATTGAATTTCTAGCATTCTGCATGGGGATTCTTATACCAATTAATTCATATATTATTTATACATGTTACTTAATATACATACACATACTCTACTTGCAAATTGCATACAAGTATTCTGATCAGGACTAGCAACAGTCAAAGTGAGGCTTTGACTCCAAGCACAAAATTTAAGAGGGCCCTCAAAACTCAGTAATCAAGATAGATGATAGTTTAATGGAAGGGTGGGAAGAAATTTGAGGAAAGCCATTTTAGACTGTAAAGAGGCTAATGCCATAACCATGATACTAAACCACTTACCATTTCAAGTTGGTCCTTAATTATTACTAGATGAGAGTTTTTTCTCAAACAATGCCCATAACTGTCATTCCAACTTTTTAACTCATTAGAGAACCAATAACACTTTTCTTGATATTTGAGCCATTCCGATGGGCACAATCCTATCAGGAAATGGGGGGAGGGAGGGTAAATTACATGTGTATCTCTGAAAATTGACAGTGAGAATACCTACATGTTATATAAGAGTGGAACTGTAATAAAATCACTCATCACTAAGCATTCAGGCTCACAGTGTCCAAAATATAAATATAATTCTTGGGACTTAGGAAAATTAATTTAGTGAGATAAAGCAAAACCTAGACATAAAAGATTTTTTCATACTATAATCTAATATAATTACTCAAATAACACACACCAATTAAGATATATATTGCATTAATGTTATTTGAGAAATTAGATAAAATATTATCTGTACCACTTGCTTATAATTTACCCATGGAAAGTTTTCCAATCTCTATCCTTGTTTTATGTGTATAATCTTTTAATATCTTCCTTTTGATATTAAATAACAGTGAGATTCATTTTTTTCAACCTCTTTGTAATTTCAACTTCATCAAGTTCTTTGGTTTTTTAAATTAAAATTGAATTGAAGTCTCCAATTGAAAATATCTGTGACTTTTGGAATACTAATAAGGGGAAAATGAACTATATAGAACAATATAAGTGCTAGCCAAAATAACTATTTAAACTGTGGCCATTATATTATAATCTCCTTTTTTTTTTTTTAACTGAGGTAAAATTCATGTGAAATAAATTTCACCATCTAATTATTTAAAATGAAAATGTCATGGGTTTTAAGTACATCCACAGTGTTGCTGAAACATGACACTAATTCCAAAATTTTTCATTGCATGAAAATGAAATCCCATAAATATTAAGCAGCCACCACCCATTTTCCCAATCCTAGCCTTGGCAATCATTAATCTGTTTCTACTCTATAGATTTGACTATGATGAACATTTCATAGAGATAGGATAATATAATATGTAGCTTTTTGTGTCTTGTTTTTTCACTTAGCATAAAGTTTTCAAAGCTCATTCAATTGAAGCATGTACTAGTACTTCATTCTTTTTATGGCTGTATAATATCCCACCACATGGAGGTAGCATATTTTATCTATTTCTCAATTGATGGACATTTGGGCTGTGCTTAACTTTTATAAATACTCCTACTATAAATATCTATGTATAAAGTTTTGTGTGGACATATATTTTTCATTATTTTGGTTATATACCTCAGATTTAAATTGCTGGGTTATATGATAATTCTATGTTTAACTTTTTTAGGAACTGTCAATTTTTTTCTCATACTGCTACACCATTTTTGATTTTACATTCCTACCAGCAATGTATAAGCAATTTCTTCACATCCCCACCAATACTTGTTATTTTTGTTTGGATATAGCTACCTTAGAGGGTGTGAAGTGATTTCCTATTGTGGTTTTGATTTCCACTTTCTTTTTTTTTTTATCCTCACCCAAGGACATTTTTGCATTTATCTTCAGACAGAGTGGGAAGGAGAGAGAGGAAGGAGAGAGAGAGAGAGAAACATCAACGTAAGAGAGACACATTGAGTGGTGGCCACCCGCATAACCCCAAACGAGGCCAGGGACAAACTGCAACCAAGGTACGTGCCCTTAGAGGGAACCGAACCCAGGACTCTCTGGTCAACGGGCCAATGCTCTAACCACTGAGCCAAACCAGCCAGGGCTGATTTGCCATGTTCTTAATAACTAATCATGTTAAGCAACTCTTTGTGTGCTTATTGGCCTTCTGTTTTGTTTCCTTGGAGAAATGTCTTTTTGTATGTTGTTCATTTTTTAAATTGAGTTTTGTTTTGTTTCGTTTGGGAGTTATCAGAGTCCTTTATATATCCTGGATACTACATACCTATATGATACGTGATTTGCAAATATTTTTCTACATTTGATGTGCTGTCCTTAATTTCTTGATAATGTCCTTTAATAAACTAATGTTTTTACTTTTGATTTTCATTTTATCTATTTTTTTTGTCACCTGTGCTTTTGATGTCATATTTGAAATCATTGTCTAACCAAGTTTGAAGACATATCTATTTATATCTATTTTTTAATGTAGCTTTTACATTTAGGTGTTTGATCCATTTAAAATTTATTTTTCTATATTGTATGAGCTAGCTGTTCAAGTTCATTTTTTGCATCTAGCAAAGAATGGGTGACCCAGCCCCATTTGTTAAAAACATTGTTCTTTCCACATTGAATGGTTTGGCGCCCTACTAAAAAATCATTTATCCATAGGTGTATGGACTTAATTCTGGACTCTCAGTCCCATTTCATTTATCTATATGTCTATGTTAAAGCAAGTTCCACACTGTTTTGATTTTGTAGATTTGTAATAAGTTTTGACCATGCAAAATGTGAATCTTCCAAATTAGTTTTTTTTAAGATTTTTTTTTTCTATTCAGAATCCCTTGCAATTCCATATAAATTTTCAGATCACCTCATTTATATATTTTTAAAAAGATCATTAGAATTTTGATAGGGATTATTTTGAATTATAGATCACTTTGGTTAATATTTTCACCTTAAACAAATTGTAGGATATACATATATTGGAATATTGTTCATTAATAAAAAAAAGAATAAAGTACTGATACATGATATAACATGGATGAACTTCAAACCATTATACTAAGTAAAAGAAGCAAGACACAAAAATCATACACAAAAATAATGTATGATTCCATTATATGAAAATCTAAAACAGGTAAATCCATAGCAACAGAAAGAAGATTAGTATTTCTTTTCTTTTCTTTTTGTTAACCCTCCCTTGAGTATATTTTTCCATTGATTTATAAAGAGAGTAGAACAGAGAGAGGGAGGGAGGGAAAAAGAGAGAGAAAGACAGGATAATTAAGAAACAAAACATAGTTATTTCCTTATTGCCTTATCATCACAATTGTTTTGATATTTGTATGTCTCAACTTTGGAAGGAAGAATCTATCTTTTACATTCTGTTTCATTGCTGTCCTCCCACTACAAAAATTATGTATATGAATCAAGTTTTGAATGAAAATTAAATTTATATCAAATATTTATTTATTTATTTATTCATTTATTTATTGCATATATATTCAATATGATTTTTCAAACTTTGAAGGTCCAAAAGATCAAAACAAGTATAGGCCAAAGCCTTGGAAGATACCTCCATGGTCTGTAACACTTGAAGCACAGTGGTCCATGTCTTTATCACTCATATTTCCTCTTGGGTCACTATTCATTTCCAGGTTTCCAATATCATCATGGTGGGTGATATTTGAATCATTTTCTTTTTGGCATTTTAGCAACACTCCTTGAGAAACTTGAAAACAGAATTGTTTTAAGGTTTGGTAAATATCTTCTCTGTGCAGTGTCTCAGACAAATTCTTTAGAATGAGTCAATGATTAGAAGAAGAAATTGCTGAAGAGATAACTAGAAGGTTTCTTTTTTATTTTCATGTTTAGTGAAAAATTATTTCAAATATTATACAATTAAGTCATTTATATAACACATATTTGTTGAGGATCTATTCTGTTCCAGGCACTGTCCTGAGAATTGGTGATACAGTAATCAATAAAACAAAGTTCTTGTTCTAGGTAGTACACATGCTCTTTTCATGGTTTCTGAATGTTTTGCAGAAACTTATGATACTGTGTTTAGCCCATTCTACCATAATTGTTCATCTAAAATCTGTTTCTTCCACTAGAATATGAGCTTCCTCAACATGACTATTTCTTCCTTCGACTTTGGGACACAAAAAGTACATATTTTCATATTTTTATTTAATTCAAGAAATTTTAACTTACCCAACAGAGTCAGGGAGATAAAAGTCAAAACCAGAATACCATTTACTGCTCCGGATATCCCCAATAAGATTTTGTACCAGTACATCACAGAACAACCTGAGAGATTAATCACATAGATCAGCTTAGAAAAGTACATCTTTAAGGAGTAATAGCAACTGTAATAATAGATTTGTATATAATTGCTTTTGAATTTTAAAGAATATTAGGCAATCAAAAACATAAAACCTAAATAAATAGAAAAATATTTACTTTATTAAATAATGATAATACACTGAATGGTAAAAAGTTGTATACATGTGATAATGAATCTTAAAAAAATGCTAATATTTGGCATAGTTTACCACCAGCAGTGCAGGGCTGTTAGAAATCGGGGGAATGAGGTTAGTGAATCTCACCTGAGAGAGAATAGCAGTCAGGCTTGGGGTAAAGGTGAGGGGAGTTATCAACCAACTAGTTCTGTCCTGCATAGAATTTTGCTGGGTGGAGCCTACATGAGTTGGGAGGATGGGTGCTCTAGGAGGCTAGGGTATGGGGTTAGTGGATCTCTCATAAAGGGATGTGTCAGTTAGGTTCATGGGAAAGTGGGGGAAATGGCCTCTACCACAAAGCCACAAAGCTTAGTCACTGACACCCCCTGAGTCTGCCCATATTTCTATACCCCAGCCCAGGAATTTGACTCTTCAGCAGGGTGTAAGCTCTGTAGTGTGAGGAATGAGAGAGTCCAGAGGACTGTGATATTACTTTGCAGCCCGCTGATGCCATGTGGATGGGAGTGCTCCACCTAAAGAGAAGGCGTCTGTGTTATGGAAGAATGACTCAGTGCAGGGATCCTGGTGGCTGTCCCTTCAGCTCACAAACACCAATGTCTCCTCAGGTGACTCTAGTCCACTCTGCCCTCCCTTCACTGGGCATCAGAGCCAGCCCTTTTTGTGTCTTGGCCCTTCCTACCAGTCTCAATATGACTTCTGTAAATTCTTCATTGTAAGATTTCCCTTTAGCTAGTCTTCAGTTGGTTATTCAGGTTGCTTGCTCTATATTTTAGTTATAATTCCAGTTTGGTCCTGGAAGAGGTCCTGCTGTCATCTTGGATCTCTCTTAATCATTTGCTTTAAATGTGATATTCCCAAATCACTTCACCTGTCTCATTAACTAAGGATGTAATATGAATCAGATGCAAATAAGCAGTTTTCCAAAGAAGACACACAAATGGTCAGGCATATGAAAAGATGTTCAACATCACCAATCATCAGGAAAGTGCAAGTAAAACGTGACCCACCTCCTCACACTTGTTGGAAGGGCTGTTCTCAAAATGACTAAAGATTACAAATGTTGATGACAACATACAATGATAACCACCATTATGGGAAACAGTATAGAAGGTCCTCAAACAATTAAAAATAGAACTATCAGCCCTGGCCGGTTTGGCTCAGTGGTTAGAGTGACGGCCTGCGGTCCAGAGAGACCCGGGTTCGGTTCCCGCTAAGGGCATGTACCTTGGTTGCAGTTTGTCCCCGGCCCTGGTCGGTCGTGCGGGTGGCAGCCACTCGATGTGTTCCTTTCACATCGATGTTTCTCTCTCTCTCTGTGTTCCTCTCTCCCTCCCACTCTACCTGAACAAAAAATAGAAAAATGTCCTTGGGTGAGGATAAAAAATAAATAAATAAATAGAACTATCATATGATCCAGAAATCCCACCCATGGGTATAACAAAAATAACTAAAATCAGTATCTCAAAGAGATATTTGCACTTTTATGCTCATTCCAGCATTATTCACAATAGTCAAGATAACAATAAACACGTATGTGTCCATCTAGAAATGCAAAGATAAAGAAAGTGTGATATGTGTGTATAATGTTGGGACAACATGGGTAGAACTTGAGGGAAGTATGCTAAGTGAAAAAAGTTAGACAGAAAAATACAAATGCTGTATGATATTACTTATATGTGTAACCTAATAAAGGAGAAATCATAGAAACAGAGAGTAGAATGATAATTTCCAAGCACTAGAGGTAGTGATGATGGGAAGATGTCCAAGTGTATAAACTTTCAGTAATAAGATGAGTAAGTTCTGGGGATCTACAATACTGATGTTGACTATAGTTAATAACACTGTATTACATTTGTTAAGAGGATAGGTCTTAAATGTTCTTACTACAAAAAAGAAATTGTAATTATATAAGTTGATGGAAGTGTTGACTAACCTTTCTGTGTTAATTATTTTTAATATATAAATGTATCAAATCATCACACTGTACATCTTCAGTTTATACAATGTTATATATCAATTATATCTCAATAAAATTGTGGGGAAATCCCAAATCTCCATTACTACTTAATATTTTTGAGAGGTTTTATTCGATGCTATCACACAAGATAACCCAAATGAAGGTAAAAATATTAGAAAAAAAGAGGTAGAATTATTCAAAGATAGTATCAGTATGTGTTTGGCAAAACTAAAAGAACCCTACAAATAATGAACAATTAGTAGCTGCAGTCACAAATTTAACATACTGAAATCAATTGCCTCTACATATCCAATATCACTTAAAAATATTTTAAAAAGTCATTACTATGGATAGCTAACCAAATGAAAAACAAACAAGAATAAAATTAGAAATAAACTACAAAAGTGCCTAAACAAAACAACAACAACAAAAAAGATGCCCCCAACCAATATGGGAGAACTAAAAAAACACATAAATAACTGAAATGACTTAAACAAATAGAAATTGAACCATGTTGGGGCTGTCGGCTAAGTATCAAAGAGATAAATATTCCCTAAATTAATCGATAAGTTCAGAAGTGATTTTGTACATTGAACTACATTAGTTTATTTTGGTTTGGGCTGTTTGTGGTGAATTCTGCAAAATTTTATTTTAAAATTATTTGGAAGAACAAACAAGTGAGCTAAGCAAATAAAATGAAAAAGAAGGAAACGTGAAATGGTACAATGCTCCGGAGGGTTATTTAGAAAAAACTAGCAAAATTCTATACGCATTGACATCGTCATCCAACGATCTCTCTCATAAAAATCTGCCCCAGTGACATATTGCAAAAATATGCAAGGCCTTATAATAGGAATATAATTTATAAAAGACTTCAAACATCATAAATATTTAATAGTTGAATAAACTAGTCGAATAAATTAGTTGAATGGGATAAAAAGGACAGGATAGGCGCTGGATTTACACTGTTTTACCATAAGCGTTACTAAATTTTAGCAAGCTTTACTAAACATCAGCAAAGGACACATCAGTAAAGTATAAACATTAGCATATGTTATTTAATTCACTAAAAGTTGCAAATTCATTATTTGTAGCTCTCTGAGCTCCTTTTTTGCACTAAAACAGCTTTTGGTTTCCGAATGACATCTACAAAATGAGGGTGAAAAAAGTTTGCACGCGGGAGCCATCACATTTTGTGATCTTTCAGGCTAATATTTTTATTGTCCAAAACAAAAATTTTCACCTGGTGGGAAAATATATTTTAAAGTTTTGACAAGCTGAATTCAAAATTGGTATTTAAAATGCCATGTTTTTCGGATGACTGATACCAAATATTCACTTTTTAACTTAATGTGCATATTTTTGAGAATTTCTTAAAAATATATGAGACAAAATATTGTTTTAAAAGCAAGTAACTTAGTCCCACATTGATAAATGAGAGCGACAGATAGACAAGACAGAGACGGAACACAGAGAAAAGTGCCAAAAAAGGAAACAGAAAAGAACAAAAAATAAGAAATTACCAAACACATTCATATTCATGTTACTATTAACTCATGTTAAATCTATGCTCATATTAATTCACACCAGGTGAAAAACAAAACAAAACTGAATTCCGTACCTTTAAATTTAATTTGGGATGTTTGGATAGAACTCCTTTTTTCCAACTTCACATTCAGTGTCATGTATCTTTCTTCATCTTGCATCTTTAATGTGAGTAAATGTGTGTGAATATCTGTGTATGTTTTGTTTTGTTTTTTAAGTACGATATGTAACAAGAAAATAATAAACCTGATGCTAATCATAGGTTTGTTTTCAAACTACTAATTTGTTCTCAAGGCTTCACAGTTTCATCTTTGGTGAAAACCTCAGAGGAAATGTTTTGTTTTGTTTTTCTCATGACCTAGATACCATAATTTCTCAACTTTTCTACTGCATATTGAATTTAAGGTCACAATTATTCATTGAAAAATTTCTTCTTATGACACTATAAAGTCAGGGGAATGTAAATTATATCCTTTTTAGAGCTGAGTTCAATGATATATGTTGCTGCCTTTCTTAGCCTAAATATGTAAATTTTCAATTACAATCCCTAATACATTACTATTTAATTTAATGTAATAGCTTGCAATTATCTAACAGTTATTTTCTGATCCTAAACAGCATTGTAAAATACAGTAATAATATAATTATATTTTGAAGAAGAAAATGCTGGTAATTTGGCATGCTAAAGACATCCTAAATATACTATTTAAAAAATCAGGGAGAATTTATTAAAGAAACCACATTTTCTAATGATCTTTCCTGATATTTGAAGAGAATGCATAATATTCATGAAGCAGAGCAGATTTTTTCCCCTCAGTTTTAGTTCTAATTTACAAACCATGTTATTCAATTACTGCATCTATACAAATGGATGAGTTTTAGCAAATATATAGATGTGTACAGTCACCACTAAATCTAGTTTAGGATTTTTCTTTCACTATAAAAAGTTCCCTTAGTTCCAAACCAAAAAGGATAACACAGTTCTAGAAATACTACCTTTAAACACCGATATAAAGTAGTTTAAAATTTAGGCTATCTTTCTGGCCACTGTATGAAATCTAGAGTAGAAACCCAGACTGTAACCATGAGACTTCAGTAGTGTTGGCTAAAGATGGAGAAAGAAGGTAGAATCTGGCGAAGGTATTCAGTTGGGGCATGGAAATGCTTGTAGGGAGAGCAACATGAGTCTTTCATTTCCTTCTCTTCAGAGATTTGTCCATGTGACAATCACATAATCTTTGGCTCTTTCTGTAAAGCCTCACACAACCACTAGAGAGCACCAGTTCACCAGCAGAACTGAAGGTCGGCCCTAAGTCCTTGCTGGAAAATAGAAAAAGAAGCCTGAAAGGCAGCCTCGTGTCAGATGCGAGCTTGCCAATTTCATTTGTGCTAGGCTGTATTCAGAACACACAAGCATCAGGTGGTGTGCTTGAACTCACCAACTCCTGGCTTCTGTTAGTTCATCAGATTCTTCTCACGAAGCACGCCAAAGCAGTCAATCTAGTTATAGTTTTCACTTTTGCTATATGAAATATACATGGCAAAAATAAACAATTTTTGTTGCTTTTAAAAATACGAAGTAAAAATAACTTACAAAAGTTTAAGTTGAAATACTTTCAATGCTAATCTGTTTTAAAGATCCTATGTCATATGGCCCTTAATAGACCTGAAGACTCTAATTTTACTGTAAAGTTAATTAATTTTCTTTTTACAGAGTAAACTGGAATTAATGACTTCTGTGTTAGGTATTGTGTCAAAGTAAGTCACACTAAGATCTTTGTAAAGCTTTGTTTAAAAGTTACATTTCAATATTGCAACAAATAAAAACATAGTATCCTCCCCCCAAGTCATTGTCCTAAATTATGCTGATTTCCTACTTCGCATTCCACTGAGAAAACAAAGTGTAACATTAGCCAGCCCAGCTAAGATTTGAATGTTTTATATTGCTTTGAATTGAGATAACAGGGCCAGAGAAAAAATAAAACTAATTTATGTATAGTTCTAATGTATTCAGGACTTGGAATTTGAAATTTTTATCTCTTTATTGAAAAAGAAAGAAAAATTAGGACTATCCCAATAAATGAAGACATAATCCTGGCAATGAACTAAATATATATATATATACACATATATATATGTATATATATATAATACACACGTATATAGAGAGAGAAATTAACAAAAGAAATCTAATCAATAAATACAAAGTTTCAATACAAGCTCATGAAAATAACATTCTACATAAATTCTCCACTATCAAATCAGAACTCATAAGAAGCTACACAAATTGGTTACAAATGTGGCTAATCGAAATAAAACATCCAAGAGAGTTAACATGAGACAAAGAACATCTTTACATATATTTCACTGGAGAAGAGTGGAAGTGGGGCATCAGTGGAAGTGTTAGAGGTAGTGAAGATAGTAATTTCAATATTAATGGTATTACTAGTACCATTTCTCTGGCAGCCAAATGAAGAACGTTTATAAAGGAAAGGGAAATATCAACTGTGTCAATTCTTAGAAGTCCTTTAAGAAGAAAATTGACTACTGAATATGGAATATAGCAATAGGTCAATAAGGACCTTGACAATATCGAAAGAAATGACTTTAAGATTTTTCCAGAAGAACACAGCAGAAAAGTAAAGATTTCTTTCCCCCTAAAGAAAGAATATTGTGGTGTCTGCAACTATCAGATATTAAATAATGACAACAATGATAATATTGTCCTCCCAAACTAAAACACATTCACCATCAAGGCCTCAGCTCAATTTTAAATTTTTGAATAGTTCCACTGGGTGTGAAGACTAACATCGTGGATCAGGTGGATCTGCCTAAAATCCTCAGAAAAACCAATATGTTCATCCTCATGGGTGGCAACAATCTGCGTACACTGTCCTTGAGTTTCCATCATTCTTCTGTGGCAAAGATAAGTCTTGGGGATATAAACCTAAAATATAATAAATATTTGGTGGTTAACTGACCCAAGAAAATAAATCAATGCAATACAAACTATATATATATAAAAAAAACTTTGTTTAGACTAGACTCCAAACTGAAGCCGGGTATCTAATGGACCATTAGTGATAAAGTATTTTGAGAGCTACAGAGTTATAGCACCTTTCAAAGCAGGGTCCAATTAAAAAAGGTACATGGTACTCCAAAGCTATAAGGCTTCTGTGTCTTATTCTTTGAATTGTTGTCTGCACATCACTTTTGCAGTGTCTGATTTTTTCCTGGGTGCTACTGTAGCTACAGATGCAAAGCGTAGAAGAAATCTCAACTATTCAGAGAAATCCAGTCTGACCACCTTTTCTAATATTACTACCTGGACCTACTCACTTTGTCACTCATTATCATAGGCACACATTGATTTATTCATTAATTCAACAAAAAATTATTGTTTGTCTGGCAATGTTCTGGCACTGGGGATACAGCAGTGAAAACAACCAAAACGATACTTTCATGCTGCTTACATTCAAATAGAGGGAGATATGCAAAAACCAAACAAACAAAACATATAACAATTAAGTTGGTAAGAAAATGGCTTGAAGACAAGAAAAGCAAGGTCGAGGCATAAAAATGGGGGTTGCTTTGCAATCTCTGCAAGGATAGAAACAGAAAGACTACAGTACCCTGCCTTAGCCCTGCCACTGTGGCTCAGTGGTTAAGCATCAACCCATGCACCGAGAGGTCGATTCCTGGTCAGGGCACATACCCAGGTTGTGGGCCCAATCCCCAGTGGGGGCATGCAGGAGGTGGACAATCAATGTTCTCTCTCATCAATGTTTCTGTCTCTCTTTCCCTGTCCCTTCCTGTCTCTAAAAATCAATAAAGAAAAATAAATTTAAAAACTACAACAAAAAACCTGTTACAGTGGAAGGCAAGAGTTGGGTTCAGATTAGTTTTGAACATTTTGAGGTGATGATGCTTATTTGACATTAATGTAGAGCATGTGAGTAAGAAGTTGATAGACAGGTATGGCATGTAGGAAAGAGGTCAGGGTGAAAAATATAAGTTATAAGAATATGGGTGGAATTGATGCTGTGGGGCTGTATGGGATCATTTAAGAAGTTGATAAGAGTACGTAGGGAAAAAAAAGGAAGGGAAGGATTCTGCAGAGGAGACAGAAGGAATGTCCCATGACTTCGAAGGAGAGAGTTTCATGAAAACCAATTGAGAGAGGAGGATAGAGAGGGGTGGGAGTGAGGTATGGAGGGAGGGAAATATATATCTAGAGTTGTATATATTTTTATGAGACAGTTCAACAATGTGTTGTGTTATTCCCAAGCTAGATATATCTATTAAGGTGCAAGTATAGTGTAGGTAGAAAAGTAGATTTAAATGCAGAAGAATAGACATATTATATTAACCAAGTCACATAGCTATGAAACAAAGGTGATTATACTGTTACTAAAAGAATTTTTACAATTCCAGCTCAATTGTTGCTTATATAGACACAAATATTTTAATAAACATAATTTTTTTGCTTTACTAGATTTCATTGTACATTGGGTTCTACATTTATACTCATTATCATTTTAATTTTATTTTTCTAAAAATTAATCCAGTTATTTCTGAGTTTAAACTATATTTTTTATTGGGTTTTTTAAAAATACTAATCAGGCTCTGGCCAGTTTGGCTCAGCAGTTAGAGCATCGGCCCATGGACCTGGGTTGCAGGTTAGATTCCTGGCCCTGGTCAGTGTCGTGCAGGAGACAATGAGTTGGTGTGTCTCTCTCACATCAATGTTTCTCTTTCTTTCCCTCACTCTATCCCTCACTCCCTTCTTCCCTTCCTCCCTTCCACTCTATCTAAAAACCAATGGAAAAATATCTTCAGGTGAGGATTAACAAAACAAAATACTAATCAAGAATTACACCCTGGCCGGTTTGGTTCAGCGGTTAGAGCGTTGGCCTGCGGTCCTGAGAGACCCGGGTTCGGTTCCCGCTAAGGGCATGTACCTCGGTTGCAGTTTGTCCCCGGCCCTGGTCGGTTGTGCGGGTGGCAGCCACTCGATGTGTTCCTTTCACATCGATCTTTCTCTCTCTCTCTCTCTGTTCCTCTCTCTCCCTCCCACTCTACCTGAACAAAAAATGGAAAAATGTCCTCGGGTGAGGATAAAAAAAAAAAAAAAAAAGAATTACAACCTATGACCCAATTA